GACGGACGGAGGGGACCGGGACTGGGGAGGGGCGGACACACGGTGGGGGACGGGAAAACGGCCTGGGGTCAGGGAAGGAGCCCGCACCCCATGTCCGGCAGCTGGTCCAGGAGGAGAACGTGCGCGGGGTGATCACCATGAACGAAGAGTACGAGACCAGGTTCCTGTGTAACAGCTCGAAGGTGAGGCGCCTGGGAGAGGCTGCCGGAGAGCTTGGGCCCCGGGTAGGCGCCCGTGGGTGGGGACCGGCAAGGGCCTTTAACAGCAAACTCGGCCCCACACCCCCTCGTGCCCTAGCTTGAAGCTGTGGCCTCAGCACTCAGGAGACTGAGGCAGGAGGATCACTTGAGCCAGGGAGTTTGAGCCCGGGCAACATAGCCAGACCCTGTCTCAAAAACCAAAACAGCAAGTTTACAAAGTCTGATTACTCCTTTACCCATAGTTACACTTTTTGTTGTTGTTGTTGTTGGTACCAGGGATGGAACTCAGGACCTTGTGCTTGCCAGGTGGATGTGGCTACTGATCTAGATCCCCCACCCAACAAAGTTATATTCTGAATTTTGGTCACTAAAATTGTGAAGCCACTTCCTGAGCACTAAGCGTGTGGGGGTCAGGCGCTGCATGAGGGCTGTGGGCTGAGGGCCCTGCTGCCTGTGGCAGAAAAGCCCTACTCTACCTGTGCAGGAGTGCATAGGACAAGCCCGCAGTTTATCTGGTTTTGATTTGACGGATTTCTTAACTGCGTTCATATGAAAGAGACGGTGGAAATCCACTGTGCTGTCCAATTCGTCTTCATTATGTGTCAGCGCTTTCTTATGGGGCCTCTGCCATGGGCATTAGGAGGTTAGTGCTTGGCATCTCTTACTACTAAATTACTCTGGGAACAGTGGGAGCACCTGTGACCCCCAGCACTCCGGCAGAGGGGGAGGCAGGAGGACCTCAAGTTCCGAGCCCAGCCTGGGCAATTTAAAGAGATAGTGTCTCCAGATAAAATTCTTTAAAAACATTCTTTTTAAATTAAAAGGGCTCAGGGTATTGTAGCTCAGTGTGAAGGCCCTGGGTTCAATCCCCGGCATCACGTAGCTCGATGAAGATGCTATTATTTCAATCCATACATTTTTAGAGACCTTACAAATATTAGTGCCTCACATTGAAAATCTATTTAGTGGCTAAAGGTGTAGCTAAGTGGTAGAATGCAGATTTAGCCTATGTGAGACCCAGGTTTTGTTCTCAGCCTGTCTCTGTTTCTGTCTCTCTCCCTGGGAGCACTGGGGACTGGAGCTTGGTCATGGATGCAGTGCCCCAGCTGGACAAGGGACTAGAGGACTAGGATGGGAAGGAATCGTGGAAGGTGTTTAGCAGTAAAGTTTACCACCTCTGCCTGTGCTCTGGCTTGAACCTGTGGCCCCCCACACTTGGGAGGCTGAGACAGGAGGATCAGTTGCTTTGCCGCCCCAGCCCCACTGCACACATGTAAAGGATGAGTAACAGTTCGTTGGAATCCCCCTGAAGTCCAGGGGCCTTAGCCACAGGATAAACATTCATGAATGTGCTCTCTCATGGGCACCCACAGGGAATGCTTTGTCCCTAGGTGGGAGGCACTGGCATCTGTGAGACAGTACTGTCTCAGCCACTAGCAAGGAAGTCGCTAAGGCAATGGCTCTCACCTCTGCGGGCCGGGGCGTGCCTGAGAGTCAGCTGGAGGCTTTGCTGAAATAGCACCTTCCTGCCTACAAGCTCCAGAGGCCAATGAACAGGGAGGTGGCAGCATCCTCCTGAGTAATCAGCCACTCTGCAGGGGTCTCTGTTGCTGGGCCACAGGCTGCAAAACACTGCACTCGTTTTTTTGTCATTTTTATGAGCAGTATTAAGTGCTGACCCTCATTCAGTCCTGAAATCCCGGATACCTCCTAGACAGGTTAAGAGTAGCTGCAGGTTATCCAAGGCTCACAGCAAAAAATAGTTGGGCAGGGTGTCGCACTGCAATAATCCCAGCACTGTGGGAAGCTGAGGCAGGAGGACTGCAAGTTTGAGGCAGCCTGGGCAATGCAGACTTAGCAGGATCCTTTCTCTAACTTTGAAAAGGGCTGCGGATGTGGCTTGGTGTGAAGGCCCTGGGCTCCATCCTTAGCACTGTGTGCTTATGCGCACACAGAGCAAAAATAAAGTGGCCCAATTCGGCAGAAGGTGTATTTCTATATCTTCCTTTTTTAAGTGCTAATTTTGTAGTAACAAAGGAAGAAGATATGTTTAAAAAGAATACCCCCCCACACGCTTTTTCAATACTGGAGGTCGAACCCAGTGCTTTCACATGGAGCTACAATCCTATTTATTTATGTAGTTTTTGAGACAGGGTCTCACTATGTAGTTGAGGCTGGCCCTGGAACTATGTAGCCCAGGCTGGTTTTGAACTCACAGCGATCCTCCTGCCTCAGGCTCCTGAGTGCTGGGATTACAGGTGTGCGCCATCACACCTGTCTGTGGCCCTTTTTGTTTTTATTATTTACTTTTTATTTATTTAGTTTTCATACCAGGACCTTGCACTTGCAAGGCAGGCAGATGTACCACTGAGCTAAATCCCCAGCCCCTTGTTTTTTTGAAACAAGGTCTCCCTTTGTAGTCCAGGCTGGCCTGGAAATTGCTGCAGTCCTCTTGCCTCAGCCTCCCAGATGTTGGGGTTACAGGTATGTGCCAGCAAGCCCAGCTTTTATTATTTATTTACACCTATTTGTTTACTTATTTAGCTAGTTTTTTGAAACGGTCTTGCTGGGCAGCCCTGGCTGACCTCCAGCTGGTGGTGATCCTCCTGCCTCAGCCTCCTGAGCGCTGGGTAGTACCACACCCGGCTTTGAGGAAACGGCTGAGCACATGCATTCACACTGTAGTAAAGCTTGAGCCTTGTGGCCCCTGCCAAGTCCCTTTCACACTGCCTACAGTGGGTCGCTTTCCTCGTCTTTTCCTGGCGGTGACCGTGGTCTAGGAGTGGAAGAAAGTGGGTGTCGAGCAGCTGCGGCTCAGCACGGTGGACATGATGGGGGTCCCCACCTTGGCCAACCTGCACAGAGGAGTCCAGTTCACGCTCAAGTACCAGGCCGCGGGCCAGTGCGTCTACATACACTGCAAGGCCGGCCGCTCCCGGAGCGCCACCATGGTGGCCGCATACCTGATCCAGGTAGGCAGCGCGGTGGGCAGCTGGGAGTCTGACTGACACACCTGGATCTCAGGCTGCAGGGGCGGGCGGTACTAGGCCCAGCACCTGAGCTCAGTGGGTCTGCTTACCTTGGCGTTCCCGCTGGCCCAGCAGGACAGCTGTGAGTCCGCTCTCTGACGCCGCTTCCTCAGACTTCATGTGTTTTGAGACTTAAGCGAGAAAGTGGCAAGGGCTAAGCCGGGTGTGCAGTACGCGCTGCCATCCCTGCACTGGAGCGCTCAGGCGGGAGGAGCTCAAGGCTGAGCCCTGCCTGGGCAGCTTAGCAAGACCCTGTCTCAAAACAATATAAAAGGAGGAGACGGGGCCGTGTTCAGTCCCCAGGACCACAAAACTAATGAACAAATGAACGAACTGACTTTTTTCCTGGCCACGCTGGTGAGCCGCAGAGGAACATCTACAAGCTCTCATTCTTAGAATCTTCTGTGCTGTGCTACTGGGGGTTGAAGCCAGGGCCTAGCGCATACCCGGTAAGCACTCTGCGCCTTGCTCCCCTGCCCTCTTATTTTAAGACAGGGTCTTGCTGTCACTGGCTGGGCTCTGACGAGTGCAGCTGTTAGCCCCACACACACAAAGTGGAGGTTTTACAGAGTTCTGAGGGTTCTCCGCAGCCACACCTTCCTTTATCCTGTATGAATTCAGGCGCACAACTGGAGCCCAGAGGAGGCCATCAGAGCCATCGCCAGTATCCGGAACCACATCCACATCACGTCGGGCCAGCTGGCGGTCCTCAGGGAGTTCCACAAAGCCGTCTCCCCACGGGCAACAAGCAACCCCTGACTCACGAGGCGTGAGGACAGCTCCACTCCAGATGGGACAAACATTTACATTTGATGGGACAGAGAGGCGCTAGGTCGTGGGTCACTCTGCTTCCTTTGCCTGGTTTATTATCTTCAAATAACACTGCTGCAGGGCTGGAGAGAAGACTGGTGTGCCTAAATTTTATTTTCTTAAGGTTAAAAAAATTTTTTTCAACAAAAACCTATCGTGTAGCTAATACTGTGACTAATGGTTTAACACCTTAATGCTAAGGCTCCAGGATGGCCTTGAACTGGTACAGATCCTCCTGCCTCACCCTAAGTGCCAGGATTACAGGTGTGATACCACGCCCAGCTGAGACATTTAACACTAGAGAAAGGAAATGGGAGCTCTGGCTCTTGCACCTGTCAGAATCCCAGGGCTTTTGGAACGGTGATTTGTATTTACACAAGGACACGGGTGCAGCAGCACTGGGAGGTCGGGTTTGACATCAGTTCCCCTTCGGGATTCAACACGGTCCCACGTCCCTTCAAAAACCTTTATTTGTATGAACTTGTGATTATAGCTCTTAATTTACCTTAGAGCTTTGAGAAGAGCAGACACCTTGTACATTATACTGAGTTTGAAAAACAGTTTCTGCTATCAATTAGAAATAATTCCTTGTTTTTCTGGCTCACCCTTGGAATGGGCTAAAAAGAAAAATGAAATCACTTTGCTGACAGATGTAAAAACACTAGAAGGAAGGAGCCCTAGAGCTGACTCTTGCTGGTGAAGTCCACCCTCCTGCCCAAAGCTGTAAGGAAAACCCTGACCCCCATCCTCCGTGGGAAATGCTCAAGTAGCCACGCCGCAGGCTGCGTCCACTTGGCGCTGATCAGGAGAGGAGGCAAAGCCCAGGGTGCAGGGACGGCGAGAGGCTGGCGCTGCTGGGTGCATGCAGCCAGCAGAGCTGTGGTCTAGGAGCCCCCAGCAGATCACCCCAGGGGCTCAGGGGAGGATCGAGGGTCCAGAGGAGCTTGGAGGGTGGCTGAGGTGGTGGAGGAAAGGGGAGGGTGGACGAGCCAGCTGCTCTCCACATGCCCGCCTTAGGCCAACACGAACTGCAGATTGGTGAGCAGCACCTTGATGCCCCTGGTGACGGTCACAGCTGATGTGGCAGGGTCGAGCTTGTAGGTGTTGGCGTCTCCCTTCTTATACCGGTCCCGGAAGACGTAGATGCTGCCATTGCAGCTGGCGATCTTCCAGAGGGATGGGGCGGCGCTCCAGGCCTCGGGCAGGCAGAGCCGTGTGAAGCTGTCCAGCAGGGGGTTGTAGCACACCAGAGAGTCGCCTTCGGCCACGATGAACACCAGATCCTTGTGCACGGCCGCGTGCATGCGGCCCGCAAACGGCAGCACGTAGGGCTTCACATGGCACTTGTCTGTCTCGGTGTCAAAGCACTGGATGAGTCGGGAAGGCTTGGTGAAGAAGTCCAGGTCGTTCTCCTCACCCCCGAGTAAGTAGATGATCCCGTTGAGATTGGCACCGGCGGCCCCCGACACCGCTACCTCCAGCTGGGTCGTCTCTGTCCACACGTTGTCGCCGACACGGTAGTAGATGACAGCGTTGGACAGGGTGTCCTGCAGCGTCTTGCCCCCCAGTGAGTAGATGGCATCCTTGCCCGGCACGGACACCAGCGTGTGCTGCAGCCGGTCCCGCGGCAGCGGCGCGCACCACTCCCAGTCCACCGTGGCGTTGTTGCACTTCCACATGCGCCGCGGGATGGAGCCACCCACCACGTACAGGTCCCCGCCGTGCTTGCAGGCCGCTGTGATCTGGTGGCACAGGCTGTTCTGGCCGCTGACACTGATGAAGTCGTCCTCCGCACAGTGCAGCGACACGGCCAGCGAGTGCGTGCGTGAGGACTCTTTCCCGATGAGGTAAATGTGCACATTCTCCCCGATCTCCTGCCGGGGCATCAAAGTGTGAGTGGCGGGAAGCTCTCGGTGAAGGCTCAGACGAAACACAAACCCTGAGGGCCAGCCTCTCGTGGGTGCCCTACTCTAACCCACTAGCATCCCGAGCCCGCCTGCGTCCTGCCTGTTCTTAGCTGTGCATCTTTACACATTTCCTGCTGGGGCAGAGAACTGGGTAGAGGAGCTCAATCGCAAGCTGGTGCTTCATGCACAGGATCTTTTCCTTTTTTTGAGGTCAAACCCAAGTTCTCTCACATGCTACCGAGCTATGTCCTCAGCCCAGGGATTATTAACTCACTGATGAAAGGAGTTCTCAAAGAGCTTTGAAGCTGGCCGTGGTGGCGCACACATGAAATCCCAGCACTTGGGAAGCTGAGGCAGGAGAATCGGGGCTTTGAGGCTAGCATGGGCTACAGTGAGTCAATGGAACAAGATGAACAGAAAAGGAGCTTGGACGCTCACAGGCCAGAGGCTTCTGAGCTCACAGACGTAAGTCTCCTCCCAGCTTCTATCACCTTCACCAGAGACCATTTGCCTAGCAGCACTCAGGTGCCAGCTCCACTGATGGCTGGATGCAGATTACTACGCCCCAGTGACTCAGGAATCCACCTTACCTTCAAGCTGGTCCTGAGTGACTCTGAAAATGCCTCTCTTTCTTCTTTATTAAAATTGATCCAGGCTTCTATCACCTCTGTTGGGTTCTGGGAACATGGAACTCCGTCTGTGAGAGACAGAGTAAGACACAGTCAATGACAATCTGGAGAGGAAATTCCGAGGACCACTTTACCAGACTCCACCGTGTGTTACACTAGCACACATGCACACACACAAAGCAGAGGTCAGTAAAGAACACTTAGGCACAGAAAATACGACTTTTTTTTTCTCTGTACTGGGGATTGAACTATAGATGATCAAACTCAGGTCTTTGCAACTTGCCAGGCAGGCAGTGGAACCACTACGCTAAATCCCCGGCCAAAGTGAACTATATATCCCAGTCCATTTTTTTTTTTTTTTTTTTTTTTTTAGATAAGGTCTTATTAAGTTGCCCAAACTTTGCAGCCTCCTGCCTCATCCTTCTAACGTGCTGCGACTACAGGTGTGCACCATCGTGCCTGGCTTCCTCACCACCTTTTGTGAGAAAGTGCTGCTCCTTTTATTTTCCTGGCTGCAGCTTCTCTAAGGCGCTCCATCCCCGACAGCTGCTACAGCAGTGAAGCTCGGCCTCAAACTAAACTCCAGCCAGGAAGCTTGCAGCTCCTCCAGGATGAGGAAACCCACTGAACATCAGGCCCCTCCCTCCGCCTACCTGAGATGATATCGGTGAGGAGGTGGTGCGGCAGGTGGAGAAACTCCTCTGTGCTCTGCAGCTGGGCCAGGTGGGTCTTGGCACAGTGCTTGGCAGCAGTGTAAAGCTCGGGGTCACTGTGCCGATCCGCCAGCCACATCACCTGCAGGCAATTTCCCACATGCACCGTGCGGGCCAAAAACCGCGAACATTCCTCAAAGAGAGACGTCAGCTGGTACATGTCTGACACCTCATAGATTTCCTGCAGCTCCTCCGCCCGCAGTTTTACAGTGCCGTGGTAGATATAGTCCACCAGGAGCTGGAAAACAGACTCGCTGACATCCTGCAGCACAATCACCCGGTTGTGAGCCTCCTTCAGATTGGATGTGAACATGGATCGGAAGAAGCAGCTCTGGGCTGAGAGGACCAGCCGGTGAAGCTGAAACTCCCGGCCTTCCACAGAAATAGTGACATCAGCAAAGAGCTCCTCCTCCAGACACAGCTTCATGATGCCCTGAGCCACTCGGCCTGAGTGGGACCGATCTTTGAAAGTGTAGTTTACAAAGTAGTTCTCATCCATGGACGCCCCAGGCTCCTCTGGTGACTCCATGGTGGCCAACTTCTCTCTGTCAGCTGCGGCAAAGCAACACCACCCCCCAAGGAGCCTGGGGAATTCACAGCAGCAGTCTGTCTAACCTGGGAAGGGAAGAGAGATGGAAAAACTGAGACCAAAATGGGCCAGACTGGCCTTAGTTCTGGTCCCTCCAGTGATATCCTTGCCAGCTCCTTCAGCCACAGCTGGGCTCGTTTTCCTGAAGCTGTGGACCTCCCCTAAGGAAATCAAAAGAAGTCCCAACTCTGCTGGTCTCCCTGAGAGTACATCAAATATTCTTTTCCAGGATGTAACAAAAAGGCTTGGGATTTAGGCCAACATATGAAAGCAAAGGGCTAGAGGATGTCTATGATCTTAGCCTCACTAATCAAGTAGCTTGGGCATAAATCTAGCGAGGCCCAGGGAAGCGGAACCAGAAGCAAAAAAAAAAAAAAAAAAAAAATTTTTAAAAAAAAAAAAAAAAAAGCCGCCCCCTCAACCCCCACGCGTCCCTGTGGCTTCTCCCCCTCCCCGCAAGGGGAGTCCAAATCCTGCAGTGAGGGAGGCCTGGGACTCCTCAATCGTCTAGCTCGTTTCTGAACTTCTGTCCCACCCCTTACCCCGCTCGCCCTAAAGACTCTAAAACTCCGAAACGGAGTTCGGCACTGAGCTCAACAGTCTCAGCTAGGGGCACACTGAAAACCCTCACCCAGCGTGGGGTCCGGACTCCACTAGGAGTCGCCCGAGAAACGGTCGTCAAGGAAACCGCTCCGCCCCCCCCCCACGGTCAGCTTTCTTCTAAAGCTCAGTTCAGGGAGCGGGGGAGGGGTGTGAAACGTAGAACCCAGAACACTCGCCCCTTCCTCTCCTCTCACCTGTCCGTTTCTTCAGCGTCTTCACTTTCGCCTCAGCCTCTTCCACATCGAACTAGGGCTTCGTTCACCTCGCGGTTTCCCAACCTGCTGGTCTTGCTTTCTCACCTGCGAGCCCTCCTTTCATCCCGGGGCCCAGAATCCGGAACCTCTGCTTTCGACCCCGCGCCCGCCCGGAAGAAGATTTGTTACACACTTCCGCTTCCGGTCCTTGCCCTTGGGTCTCCGCGTTCTGTGGCCTCTCCCTGGGTCACCGGTTCTGCATCCCAGCAATATGGCGGCCGCTGTGGCCGGGGTCTGGTGGCGAGGTCTCGCGGGGGCCAGAGTGGTGGCCGGGGGTAAGCGGGGTCAGCTGGCTGAGGCCAGGGTCGGAGGCAGTGGCTTGCCCAACGCGGTGGACTCCAGGCCTCACCAGTGGGTCTGTGCCTCTTCTCTCCCGTGCAGGGGCTGGGCGACCCTCGGCGCTGCTGCAATGGGTGCGGAGGGCGAGCGCTGCGGCCGACTCGCGCCGTGAGTATGTGCGGGGTGCGCTCCTCTCCTCTGGCCACCCGGGGCCCATCGTTCCCTTTGCCAGATGCTTGTCCTTGCTTTAAGGTGCCCTGTTCTGGGTCCTGCAAATCTCTTGTCCTTGGGGACTTAATTGAGTGTTCTTCACCTCGCGATCAGAATCGAGCTTTCCCCGTTCCTGTACCAATGTCTTACGGTCTTGGTTGCCCCCTGTCCGTTTTCACGACCCTCTTTTTTCTGATTAAATTGGCAGCCTTTTGAGGACAGGAAACAAAAACTCGTTCTTCAGAAAGTAGTGAGAATAGCAGCTCACGGTAATTACATGCTCGCTGTACGTCAGGCACCTCACAAAGGCTTTTAGTGAAGAATATTATTTGGTTCTCAGGATAACCCTACGAAGTCGGTGTGCTTAGGTGGAGAAACAGCTCGACCTGGTGGTGCACACCATTAACCCCAGCACTCAGGTGGCTGAAGCAGGATTGCAGTGATTTTGAGGCCAGCCTGGACTACACAGTGACTTCAAAACTTGGCTGAACTACATAGTGCGATCCTGTCTCAAAAAGAAAACAGACCACAGAGAAGGGCGGAGGGGTGAAGAGAGAGCAGGGGAGTGGGGAAAAAACAAGAACCGAGATCTGTCATGTAAAGGTGCAAGATCCCAATGATGAATGTAACTGTACTGTGTACCTAAAGTGTACCAATAACAATATATAAATAAAATAAAACACGCTGGGTGTGGTGACGCACACCTGTAATACCAGCACTCGGAGGCTGAGGCAGGAGGATTGTTGTGAGTTCGAGATCAGCCTGGGCTGCATAGCGAGTACAGGGCCAGCCTGCACTATGAAGGAAGACCTTGCATCAAAAAACCAAAATAAAAAGAAAAGAAAAAAACAAAAACAGACCAGATAACTAAACTGCCCAGGGTCACAGACCTAGTGAAAGAGCAGGTCTTGCCCATTGCCAAAGGCAGAGAACTCTTCGCCATTACTCCCCAGCCTGTGAGTGCGTGACAGTGATTCAGGGCTGCAGGAGTATATGGCCATCCTAAGGTACTAAGTGATAGTTGACATAAGCCAACTTTGGTCTTCTACACACAGATTTCAGTAAGATTATCTGTGAGGGCTCTTAAGTTCTTACCTTGAGAATGTGGGTTAGACTAAATGCCAAGGAGATTTTCTCAAAAGCCTCAATTTGCCTCCTCTGTTTAAGAGGTGTAGTGTGGCAGGACAGCTGACACCTGCTGTCAGTGTTAGCAGTGTGAAGGAACAGCCACGGACGGGTTCAAGAGGTCACTCTTCTGTTCCATATAGGGGAGGTGATGTCCCCCAGGTTTGCATTTCCTGGTCCCTGGGAGAGGAACTCTCTACCTGCACCTTCCGTAAAGTTCTATGGGGAGCCCTGCTGAGAGCTGACACCCTTTTCAAGCCCATGAGACACATACAGGGCTGGTTGCTGCCTTCTGTGTTTCTCATAGATATGATTTCTCTTCCAGCCACTGTTAGGCCACAGGATGCGGTGACCCACAAGCAGCTTTCAGCTTTTGGGGAGTATGTGGCTGAAATCCTCCCCAAGTATGTCCAGCAAGTTCAGGTAATACTTGCTACTGTAATTGGGGTCGGAATCATGGAACAGCCATGTGCTCAGGGCATGTGGGAGTGGACAGCCTGGTTGCAAAGAAACCATAGACCCGTGCGTCCCAAGCTTCAGCGTTTTCTCTCTCTCCCAAACCGGAGTTCTACCAGCTGGAGTTGTCTGCTTCCTGCATAGCTGTGCCTTCCTCTCCCCTCCCTCCTCTGACTGTAGGTGACCTGCTTCAATGAGCTGGAGGTCTGTGTCCACCCCGATGGGGTCATCCCGGTGCTCACCTTCCTCAGGGATCACTCCAACGCGCAGTTCAGATCCTTGGCTGACCTGACAGCAGTGGACATCCCGACTCGGCAGAGCCGTTTTGAGGTTAGTGGAGGGGTGAGGAAGAAGGGTGACAAGGGGACAGAACGTTTTCAGAGTCGCAGCTGCCTGTGGGAAGCACAGCCTCCTTAGGCGCAGTTTAAGGTTGATTCAAACAGAACATGGCAGTTAAACTAGGGCTTTAGAATCAGGTAGGTCTAAGTGTGAATCCTGGCTCTGCCATTAATTGGCTGTGTGACCTTAAACATTCCCTTTGGGTTGGTTTAGATGGGGTCTGGCTCATTGCCTAGGCTGGTCCTGAACTTCTGAGTGCAAAGGATCTCCTGCCTCAGCCTCTTGAGTACTGGGACTACAGGTACGTGCCACTATGTCCAGTGCTGTTTGATTGTTCTGAGCTTTAGTTTTCCAATTTGCAAAATAAGGTGGTGGCAAGGAGGGGCCGGAGGCATTGCTGAAGCAGAAGAAGGGGAAGGCTTCCACATTCCCAGCAATTTTAGATGTCAAAAACATACCCTGGCTGGGCGTGGTGGCACACATCTATAATCCCAGCACTCGGGAGGCTGAGGCAGGAGGATCACTGTGAGTTTGAGACCAGCCAGGGCTACATAGTGAGTTCCAGGTCAGTCTCAACTACATAGTGAGACCAAGTCTCAAAAAAAAAAACTCTGTATGTGAGGTTTGATACTGTGTTGTCCAACAGGATTTGTTATGGTGGTCCTGGGGTTTCGTTGTTGTTGTTAACTGGCACAATTAGTCATTTGAGGGCCGGGGATTTAGCCCTGTGGTGCTGCACCTGCCTGGCAAGCACAAGGTCTTGAGTTCAATTCCTAGTACAAAAAAAGGTCGTTTGATATTGGAGGAGGATTTTTATCTTGATGGCTTTGGGATGCTGGTTTCTTTGTAAGTAGAATTACTCAAAGAAAAGACTCAGGAGAGAATGGTCAAAGAAGCAATTAAAAATAAAATAATACAATCTGAGGGGAACAGCTTAGTCCAGTGGTGGCAAGCCTATGGCACGCATACCGCAGTGGGCTGTTTTTATCATTGAAAAGTTTCAGCCGGGCGAGGTGGCGCACACCTGTAATCCCAACACTCAGGAGGCTGAGGCAGCAGGATCGCTGTGATCGAGACCAGCCTGGGCTACACTGAGTTCCAGGTCAGTCTCAACTACATAGTGAGACCCTGTCTCAAAAAACCAAAAAAAAAAAAGAGAAAAGTTTTAAGAGGTTCGCCATTGCTGGCAGAGTGGCAGTGCATCGGCTTAGCATGTGCAAGGCCTTGAGTTCACATGTGTGTACACACAAAAAGATACTAGATGAGAGCATTCACCTTCATCCTAAAAAAAGGAAAAAGCCCCACAAGAACAGCGATTGGGCAGTCTTGAGCACAGGAAACCAAAACAACTCTGAAGTCCGCCTGATCAAAGCTGAGGTCGACCACATAAAACACCTTGTGTACCATAAGAAAGCTCTCCGTCCATCAAGTGAAGGAAGTATGTGTAAGTTGTAGTTCTGAGCTTCACACAGAAGCCAAGGCTGGATGGTGGCACACACCTGTAATCCCAGCGCTCAGGAGTTTGAGGCCAGCCTGAGCTATGCAGTGAGTTCAGGGTCAGCTGGAACTACATAGCAAGACTCTGTCTCAAAAAGCCAAGCCAAAAGAAAACAAAGGGAAGGCAAGATCACAGGTGGAACTCTAACCCACCCTGGACCCTCCCAAGGAATGTTCTCCCCAGAAACTCCCTGTGTAGTCTCCTTAAGCTGTGCCAACTTGGTCCTCCCACATCCCTGTTTTCCATAGATTGTCTACAACCTGTTGTCCCTGCGCTTCAACTCCCGGATCCGTGTGAAGACCTACACGGACGAGCTGACGCCCCTTGAGTCCTCAGTCTCAGTGTTCAAGGCAGCCATCTGGTACGAGAGGGAGGTGAGTCCGTGGGCGGGTGGGCGCTGCCTCTGAGCTCTCTCAGCCCTGCTGCACTGCTCACCTAAGAATGTCTCCACTCCAGGTCTGGGACATGTTCGGAGTCTTCTTTGCTAACCACCCCGACCTAAGGAGGATCCTGACAGATTACGGCTTTGAGGGGCATCCCTTCCGGAAGGACTTCCCCCTGTCTGGCTATGTTGAGGTAGGAGCAGTGGAATGGGCCATAGGCTCAGGAACGTGGGGTCCTGGTCATGGCAGGAGCATGTTTTATGGATTGTGGTGGTGTAGAGCCTGCGCTTGGGATCCAAGTCCCAGCTTCATTTTGTAATCTGGGATGAGTCATTCCATTGGCCCGTGACTCAGTTTCCTCATTGGTGGCACAGTCATAGTAGCAGTACTTGCAGGATGCACGTGTCAAGCCCAGTGTGTGACCCCAGTCCACGTGAGCCCCTGCATCGGTCATTCTGAGGAGAAGGGCAGCCTTCAGGACACAGTCAGCCCCCAAGCCTGAAGGGCGAGGGATATTTTGCCCACTCTGGATCCCTGGGAAGGTGTCTGGCAGGGGGTGGCAGCAGGGAGAGGGAGAGGCCATCTTGGACTGGAATGCACTGGCTGGCTGTGACCTGACGAGTGACACAGGTGTGGATGGAGACTTGCTTGCAGAGCCTGGAAAGAGGCTGAGATGAGTCGGGGACATAGCTGGGCTCGGTGGTGCAGCCTGTGATCCCAGCACCCAGGAGCTAAGGCAGGAGGATCATCACAAGTTCAAGGCCAGTCTGGACTCTGTAGTGAGACCCTGTCTCAGGAAAAAAGGTCATGGACAGAGGGCCAGAGGCTGGGGGTTCCTGTGGCACCTCTCAGTGCCCACCCGCCCTGTGCTCCTGCAGCTGCGCTATGACGATGAGGTGAAGCGAGTGGTGGCTGAACCAGTGGAGCTGGCGCAAGAGTTCCGCAAGTTTGACCTGAACAGCCCGTGGGAGTCTTTCCCTGCCTACCGTCAGCCCCCTGAGACTCCCAAGCTCCAAGCCGGAGACCAGAAGCCTGAGGCCAAGTAGCCCTGGAGAGGCATCGGACCCTGGAGAGCACCCTGCCTACCTGTAAATAAATTCCTGCCTGTACTGGCAACTCCTGTGTGCTTAGTGGGCAGAGAGGAGACTGCCTTGGCAGGAAGGCCATGATGGGACCCTAGCCAGCTTGCAGCCTGCCCCGCAGGCCTGGGTACACTACTTTTCTGCTTCTTGAGACAGGATCTTGCTGTGTAGTTCAGGTTGGCCTTGAGCTTGCAGTGATTCACGCACCACCACATCCGGCTGGGTCTCTGAGGGCTTCTGAGCTAGAACCCGAAGTGCGCACAGTGCACAAGTTTGGGGATGGGTGTGGCGTGGCCCCAGTGAGCTGAGGGCTGTCGGCAGCCATTGGAGAAAGCCTGCATCGCAGCAGACTCCTGTGGCAGCTGACGGGTCCGGGAGCTTGGGTGGAGCCAGGGAAGCCCGGTCTGCTCTCCCTCCTCTGGAGGGTTTCCTGTCTCAAGCCCTGTGTCCTGCAGCCTGTCCCTAAGGCCCATCATTCCCATCTAGAGGAATCTTATCGGGCAGAGGCTGCTCCGGGCTGGGACCGAGAGCCCTCAGGAGGGCGGGCTGTGTCAGCAGACAGGGCTCCCGCCCGGCTGCTCTGGGCCTAGGTGGCCTGCAGTGGGAGCACAGCCCCCTCGCCACCCCACTGAAGGACTGGGCTGCATAGCTGAGGCTGTGGCCAAGGGACTCCCTGGAGTGGCTGGGCTGGGGGTCACGCTGGCCTCAGTAGCCGATGTGAGTGAAGGCAGGAAGGCAGGACTACTGCCAGAGGTACTTCCTGCGCCAGGGAGAGTGAGCCAAAGCTGTGTGCTACAAACGCCTTTTCCCCTTGAACTACACATCCCGCCCATCTGGGCAGGAATGGCCACTGACTGCCAAAGCAGAGTCCTCATTCCTAAGGCGTGGAAGAAGGCCCTGGGAGATGAGGCCACAGCCAGCCCCGCCTGAGCATCTGGAGGGAAGGTGGGTGTGTAGCTGTGGATGAGGGGCCACAGCTGCTGGAGCGTGGTGCGGCATGGCCAGGACACCAAGGTGCCAGCTTTATCTGGTGGCTGCCGTTTGTCTCCTCCCTGGGGTGACTGATCCACCACCTTGCAGGTAACAGCGCCTCAGGCAGAGCCTTGAAGGACAGCTGTGGGCTGGTGGGGACCAGGCGGCTGGGTGCTGCAGTGGGCGATGGTGTGGACTGAAGGCTCAGAACCAAGCAGGTCCACAGCCCTGGAGATGGCCGTGGTGACCTGGCTCCAGACAGCTGGGCCTGGGCTTGTGCAGGGTCACTGCAAGGCGAGGCAGCACTGCAGCAGGGGGACAGAAGGAATCGCCCATCGCACCCTCCCCACCTTCCACTGTCCAATGCTGAAGAGCCGGTGAACAGTACGCCCTCCCAAAGAGGGCCTTGTCCGTTACAGAGGGTCCCTGGCATTGAGGGCACATTGTCCCCACATGACTGAGGGAGGGAGGGAAAGAGGGCAGGGAGGGCCTTTAGGGCTTTTTATCAAGGCCACTGTGCATGCTGAGGAGGAGCTCTGGCCATCTGCCGGGATGGTGGTGGGACTTGGTGTCCTCTGGAGTCCCAAGGCCCAGGCCTGGGAGGGTGGGTGTCAGTGTCTGTGTGCACAGGGGACAGAGCCCTGAGCTGGCACTCCTGCCCCTTGCAGGTGAGCCATAGGGACCCACCTGGCAGCTGAGGAACACTGGGGCGTTCGGGGTGGAGGGTGCAGGGCCTGAGTCTTCTGCTGCCCCAGGGCAGCCCATGGACAGCACCGGCACAGGAGATGGCCTGAAGGAACCAGAGGCCCCGTAAGTGATTGTGAGGTCCTTCCCTGGCCTGGGACATGGGGGTGGGAGCGCCCAGTGGTCCCTAAGCTCAAGGCTGGGTGGCCGAATGTCTCTGTGTGGGCCCACCAGGGTGGGGGCAGCCCAGCCTGGGTCCTATGCCTGTTTATGCCCCTCGCTCCCTGGCCTCGCTCCTATCCCTGAAACAGCTCCTCTTGCAGCTGTTGTGGGCTGGGATGGAACTGGACGTCACGGGGCAGCTGAACATCCAGGACGAGGAGCTGGTGTCCAAGTGCCCGGGCCGCTGCCTCAGGCTCCTCCTGCAGCAGCTCATGCTCGGGGACTTGCAGGGCACTAGGCAGCGGCTACAGCAGCTCCAGGACCTCTGGGAGGGGCCTCCCTTTAGCCCTTGGCCCTTCGATCAACTGCTCCTCAGTCCTGTCCTGCATCTACCGGCTCCATGGGTCACGCGTCTTCACCCTCCTGACACAGGCAGTGCTCTGGGACCTGTGCAAGGGCTTTTGTCCCCTTCCCCGGGGCCCTGGGCCTCCATCCTTAACCGTTTCCTGACTGCTCCCTTTCACCTGCCATCTCCTCCTCCTGGCACCTCCTCTAACCTGAGCCAGACCCACATAGGGCAGGGGCTCCCACCTGACACCTGGATCTTCCTACTCAGGGCTCTGGGCTTGGCTGGCACCCTGGGAACCCCCACCCCGATGCTTACCCCACCTTCTTCCCTGGACCTTGAAAGGTGGAAAGTGCAGGGCCTGGGTCCAGGTAGCAGGCACACGCTGAGGCAGGCATGTATGCAGCGTGCACGAGTGTGCCGGTGTGTCTGGACTGAGAAGTGCGTTTCAGCGATGGAAAGGGAAACTGCTCCAAGCAAGCTCAGGGCTCCCTGTCCAGCTCCCTGCCCCAGGCAATCTGGGGGAGGCACTGAGGAAGGAATCCCAGCCCTCGGTCCTGATTTCCTTATCCCCTCAGTCCTGACCAGGCTCCGCTCCTCAAGTGTCTGGAAGGAAGGGAAGCAGGTGGAAGGGTGGCTGGGGAGGGTTTTTTAAAAAGGACTCTGGTTGTGGGTCAGCAAACCTCCAGTGAGCCTCTTGGGGAAAAAAGGGTGGGAGGGGCCGCTCACTCGGACCGGCTGAGGGAGCCCCGACTGTAATTCATCCCATGAAAGACTCGCTCTGGCTTCCTAGGGCATACGTCATTCCGCTGCAGATGAAGCTGTCTAACGGACGTCCTGTCACACCCACCTCCCCGTGCTGGGCGACCGGGCATCAACCCTTCACCCCATTCCCACACCTTGCTGGAAAAAACATGCTGTTTCCTTCGGTCCCGGCTATGGGGAAGCTGTCCTTTGTCATAAACAGGAATCAGCAGGGCCCGAAGAATAAGGTTGTAAATCAGCAGGTGCGGTCAGTGACACATCTATAATCCCATCACTCAGGGAGGCCGAGGCAGGAGGATCACAAGTTCGATTCTAGCCCGGCGAGTTTATTTATCCAGACACTGTCTCGAAATAAAAAATACAAGGGGGGGGATGGCTCAGCGCTAAGACTGGGTTCAATATCTAGTATACCAGGAAAACAAAATGAGGAGGGACCGACCGAACAGGGACACGAGGTACCCACCACAGGGTAGGCGAGTACGCTGCACGCTCCCACACCTCACCCTCGCTGCCCGACGCCGCCAGAGCTGAGCGCTGCACAGAGGGACTCCCGGCGGGGGGGAAACCCGCGCAGGCGCACTGTGCCAGCGG